GCTTGCTCATTAGACAGCAGGAGGGACCTGCGGAAAGTGAAAGGAAAGTGGTAGAAGATGAAATGTGAGAGGCACAGGCACTTGACAGGTCAAGTCAGACCTTTGCAGGCCAGCAGCAAGTGTGGGGTTTAACTACGGGGTAATCGGGATTTAGAAAATAAGGATTGAGAAAAGGGGAGTGAAATGATCTTTATTATGAAAAAGATCAAACATACTTGAAAGCTGAGAGTAGTAACTGTATAGTACCTCCATGAACGCACCACCAGTTACCGGAGCGACTGTTGTTTCATTCATATCCTCAGTTGTTCTCCCCACCCCAAGATTATTTTTAATCAGTTCCATCTGCATATATTTGAATTTGTAACTATAAAAATAAGAACATAACCACAATACTTCCTAAAAATGTTTATGTTCTTATTTTTATAGTTACAAATTATTCTGGTTATATTAAGAAGCAAATCTTTATTATTAAGTATCTGTTCAGAGTTCAAGTGTTCCAGTCCTCTCATAAATCCATTTAAAAACTTTATTTGAATCAGGATCAAAACATAATCCACACCTTATCATCAGTTAACGTGAGTATGTGTGTGTTTTAGGAGAGATTTGATTTCATTTATTTTTAACCACTTCATTTATTTCTGGAGAGAAGGCTGGGAAGAAAAATTGCTGCAGGTCTGTTAAGTCTTGAGTATTGCACATGAAATTAATGTAAACCATAGACTGCAACAAGAGTAGGAAACAGTGTCACACACCCCCATGCCCATGCCCATGCCCCAGCTTCAGCAATGCTTGCTTCATGGCCAGTCCTTGTTTTTATGCTCACCAGCATCCCTCCTCATATTAGTTTGAAACGAATCCCAGACATTATATAATTTTGTCTGTAAACATCTCATCACGTACTCAAGATAGTGTTCTATAACACACACACACACACGGCATGCAGAAGATCCTGGGTTCAATCCCCGCTACCTTCATTAAAGTAACTAAATATGTAAATAAACCTAATCCCCCCAGCCCAAACAAAACAAAACCCACGCACACACATTACTATTATTATATCCGAAAGGTAAACCAGTAATTCCTTATTAATAGATACCCAGTCAGTGTCAAATTTTCCATTGTCTCAAACGTCATAAGTAAATTTCTCGTAAACTGGTAGTTGCATCTAGAGGCTTTTTCAGATTCAAGTTTGATTCTTTATTTTTTTGCCTCTGGTGGGGAAACACTATGCAAAAGTGGTACTGTTTTCTAATATTAGGAAGCACTCAAAGTCCGATCCCCTCTTAAGCCATTGAAACTCCGTGCCTTGAAGGCAGAGATTGCAAATGATAGTGTTCCATATCTAATGTTCATCCTTCATTTACTAGGGTAAAAGAAGTAATTTAGTTGAAATATGTGAAGAATATCTCTCCCTTGCATTAGGTTACCCTGTAGAATAGTTGGTAGAGGGAAAATATTTCCTGTCCTTTTTTTTTTTAACCAGTTTTCAAAATAGTTGGTTTTTGCATTCTTCAAAGTGCTGTTATTGTTTTTTTAAGTATTATTGTCAGGCGGATTTAAGATTGGCTTTCGTTGATGGTTAAATTGCCCACTTGTTATCTGATCTTTTAGCAGGTAATCTCTGAATCTTTCTGATGTGATCTCACACCTAGGAAATAATTGTATTTAATAATCTTTTAAGATAAAAATAATGAGCTCATAGTGACACTGCCAATTCAGATTCCGGGCTGCAGAGGTTATATTTATCTTGTATCTTTCTCCCATGCCAAAAGTTTCAGTTCAATGATTATAACATAGTCATTTATTTGCTTTATCCTACAGGACAAAATTCCAGCTTAACACCAAAAATAGTAGTATTGAGAAAGTTTTAATTTTGTAATAGTTCTTTTTTTGTTCTTGGGATATATCTCACTTTGTGGTCAGATTTTTATATTTCAGTCATTTGAAATTTTCTTCTTGTTCATACTGCCAAGTTAGTTTGGCTCATTTGTTTTATTTTGCTCTTAATTTTTAGGGGTTGATTTTAAAATGTAATTTTGCTTTTTTAAGTGTGTAATATTTATATGGTTCCTGAAGTCAAATCTGTAAGTAAGGTGTATTTTTAAAAGTCTTACATTCTTTTTCTACCCCTTTAGCCTATTTCCTCCTCAACACAAATAACCTTTGTTAATTTTATGATCTATCCTTTTGTTACTTACTCAAGAAAACAAAAACAAATCCATATTATCTGCTTCACAGACACTGTCCTTAGATAAGAGTAGTAAAAACTACATACTTTCCTTGCTTTTTACATTACATTTTGGTGTTTACTCTCCATAGCTGCTATGTGCGCGCG